GAAAACTATAGAATAAACAAAGCTTCAGGGACATGACAACCAAATACAGTGTGTGGATCTTGTCTGGCGCCTGATTCAAACCAACCAGCTATAGGAAAACGTTTATTAGATAACCAGGGAAATCTGAACACTGATGGGACATTCGATGAAATTAAACCTGAAGTAGACGAGACGTGATTGGCCATGTGATGATAATTGTGGAAGCTTGGTCACGAGCACATGAGGATTCATTACATTACCCTATCTACTTTTGCATGTTTGAAAATTTCCATAATAAAAGGTTGGTTTGGAAACCCTTACTGGCCAGCTGCCAAAACCAAAAAAAAAAAAAAAGTTGGGAGTCACATTAAAATTACATAGCAGTGTTGGACTTTCTCAGTGAGTGAGTGACTGAGTGAATAGATATCTAAATATATCCCTATGGTTGTCTATTATTAAATAAAGAATTATACAGAATAAGCTGTGAAATCAAGATTAGTGCCTGAGTTTCTCTCATAGTTGTGATTTTTAAGTTGTGATTCACTTTTTAAGTGAATTTGGGGGGGNATCCGAACCCTCGGCGGGAGTGCCACCACACTCCCAAGTGGCGCACTCTCCAGTGCACCACCAGGCCGGCCCTTATTTTCCTGTTTTTATGTAACAAAACAAGAGACAAAATAAAAATAAATTATATATATATATATCAACCCTGGAAAGAAGACTAAAATGTTAATAACAATTTTTAGATGGGGGAATATAAGAACCCTCCTTTTTTGCACTTTTGTTTCCATATTTTCTGTAGTGAATATGAATTTCTTTGCTCATTAAAAGGAAAAACAATATTTTTAAGGTTTGTGTCAACAACAGTACAGGAGCCAACTGGAGCGGGTACCTACTGGCCAAATTTGGGACAATTTGAGCATCATAAAGAGTAATGATGATTAGAGCACAGCCTTGTATCACCAAGATCCTGGGTTCAGATTTCTGTACCAGCAATCCACCACCCCCAAAAAAGAAAAGAATAACGATGGTAAAGATTATAAAAAGGGGAGGGTGAAAGAAAGCTCTTTTTTACAAGACAATGCCACCTACTAGAAGAAATTACAGAATGAGAAAATCAAACTTCTGTGATTCCCAATGTAATAATTGATTCAGGCAGTGATCAGAGAATAGATGTAAAGATTGTTGAGGAAAATTTGGTTGGAGAACAGGATCAGGATGACGGTCTCACGTTACTGGATATAATGGAGAGGTCTAGGTGACACAACCTGTCAGCCAACTGATCAAACTTTGCATGATGGGACAAACTGTCTCTATGTGCAATCAGAAGTACCAAATATCACCTCTGCACTTTGCTTCCAAAAATGTTTAACCTGGATCTAATCACGAGGAAATAACTAGACAAACTCAGAATGTGGGGCGTTCTCAAGCCAACTAGAGAAACCATAAGGGCATGAGGATAGTTCTAGACTAAAAGACTGGCTAGCCATCAAAAGACAAA